GTGAATACAGAGGGTTCATCACAAGATGGAAACCATTGGTGAGCCTCAAAAACAGGAAGGCCAGATTAGAGTTTGCCAAACGACATCTAAAAAAAGCCTTCACAGTTCTGTAACAACATCCTATGGACAGATGAGACCGACATCAACTTGTACCAGAGTGATGGGAAGAGAAGAGTATGGAGAAGGAACTGCTCATGATCCTAAGCATACCACCTCATCAGTGATCATGGTGGTGGTAGTGTCATGGCGTGGGCATGTATGGCTGCCAATGGAACTGCTTCTCTTGTATTTATTGATGATGTGACTGCTGACAGAAGCAGCCGGATGAATTGTGAAGTGTTTCGGGAATATTATCTGCTCATATTCAGCCAAATGCTTCACAACTCATTGGACGCTTCACAGTGCAGATGGACAATGACCCAAAGCAGACTGCAAAAGCAACCAAAGAGTTTTTAAGGGACAGAAGTGGAATGTTATGCAATGGCCAAGTCCATCACCTGACCTGAATCCAATTGAGCATTTCACTTGCTGAAGACAAAACTGAAGGGAAAATGCCCCAAGAACAAGCAGGAACTGAAGACGGTTGCAGTAGAGGCCTGGCAGAGCATCTCCGGGGATGAAACCCAGCATCTGGTGATGTCTATGCGTTCCACACTTCAGGCTGTAATTGACTGCAAAGGATTTGCAACCAAGTATTAAAAAGTGAGTTTGATTTATGATTATTATTCTGTCCCATTACTTTTGGTCCCTTAACAAGTGGGAGGCACATATGCAAACTGTTGTAATTCCTACACCGTTCACCTGATTTGGATGTAAATACCCTCAAATTAAAGCTGACAGTCTGCAGTTAAAGCACATCTTGTTTCATTTCAAATCGATTGTGGTGGTGTATAGAGCCAAAAATGTTAGAATTGTGTCGATGTCCCAATATTTATGGACCTGACTGTATATTGTAGTTTACCAGTACTTGGGATTGGCAGGTTCTCTCATTTAGTTACACCTCTTGGGGGGAGATTTACTGAAAAGGGTGCAGCTCTGCATAGTAACCAATGAGCTTCCAGGTTTTATTGTTAAAGCCTAACTGAACAAGCTGAAGTCAGAAGCTGATTGGCCAGCATGTACTCCAGATTCAGAAAATATCCCCCTTTGTTTACACGCATTCCTCCATTGCATCTATTGATGGAGCTGTGGCTCTCACACCTCACACAGGTTGGACTGCAAACAGGTCTGTATTCGTTCAGCTTCATAAACACAAAGGATTTATGGACTAGTAAAGTAGTTTGCCTCCTGTTCATCTCCTAAGGGCACAGATTCCGCCCCCTTCTCCTGTACTTGCTACAAACCTGAAAAAAAGAAACCTAAGGCAGCCACCGCATCTAGTAGAGGGGAGAAGGATTAGCACATCAGTCAGTTTTTACTGCTGTCAGTGCCCCCATTTATCTTTGAAAGTAAAAAGAAAATACCACATTTTTAGGTTGTCCCCAGAAAAAGTAAGAGGGGAAATCTTTCAATGAGGACACTAGTTCTGGCAACATGGTGTCTAATTCCCTTAATTTGCTGGGATTTCCTCACTTCCTGTTTGGCTATGGGACAGGGAGTGAAGAGAAATCTCCGCAATGGGACACAAATGGCAAAAAAAAAAAAATAATATCTGACAGCAGGATTCAAAGAGAAGTTCACCTTTTAGTAAAAAAAAATAAAAGCAAACTTTTGGCAGGTAAAAAAAAAAAAAAATAATAATAATAATATCTGACAGCAGGATTCAAAGAGAAGTTCACCTTTTAGAAAAAAAAAAATAAATGCAAACTTTTGGCAGGTAAAAAAAAAAAAAAAATATCTGACAGCAGGATTCAAAGAAAAGTTCACCTTTTAGTAAAAAAAAAAATAAATAAATAATAAATGCAAACTTTTGGCAGGTAAAAAAAAAAAAAAAAAAAGTGCATTTACTATTTTTGTCTGCAAGAGCCTGTAAATAATTGCAGATCACTGATGCAAGTCTTTTTTTTTTTTTTTTTTGACAGCTAGGGGGGCATTAAGACCCCCTGCTGTCAAAGCGGGGAGCGAGGGCCAGGCTGATTGTAACGTTACAAAAGGTGAACTTATCCTTTAATAACCCTCCCATGCTCTACCCAAAAGTTCGGCCTATAGTTCTACTTTAATATTTACTGCTATGAGAGGCCATTACAGATATTCTGATTTCTAGGTGCATGACCAATGGAAGTTTATGGAATTGGTCCACATAACAAACGCAAGCCAGACAGACCTAGAAATTATGCAAGCCAGGGACATAACGTGTGTATGATCACAATGGGAATTTGAGTAGTTATATTTTCCCCTAATATAGACTAGTTTCTTTCAGGCAGTTTCTTAGAAGAAAGCAACCAGTCAATATTTTAGGCAGGAAACTAGTTTTTGGTTTGTCAGACCTCGAACCACTGCTTTTCCCCACAAAACAATGATATGGATCTAGTTAGCCAGTTTTTTATGCAGGTAAACAGTACAAAGCATGAGAGGTGGATCTGGAGGTTTGTTCATACTTACCAGATCAATTTACCTTGTTTGGATCCCCAGTGCAGGAGAGGATAACATACTTGCCTTATTCCTCGCTCCCCTCTCCTCCGCTGACCGACCCTCCTGAAGCTTGGGCACCAACAATGCAGGACCAGCATAGAAGAGCTGAGCAGAGAAGGGGGAAGGTTTCAGGGTTCTGGTTACAGAAAGTAGAAGCCTGTGGTAGCGAGGAAGAAGGTATGTAAAATGACTTTTTTTTTTTTTTTAATATTCCCTAGGGAAAACTGCCCCCCAGTTTAGCTTTAAAGCCAAACTCCAGGTTTATGTTCCATTTAAACAGCTTGGTTTGACCAAGGTGGCCCAAAGGAACCATTTCCTTTACTAATGAAGGCAGCAGCTCTCAGGACTGTATAAGCTGTATCATTATGGAGTTCTGTGTTGTGTTCCAGCAGTGGTATTGGGTGCACTTGTGGTCTCCCTAGTCTTTGTATCAATGAATGCAAGGCTTCCTCAGATTGGCTGACGCGATGACCTTGACATCTAGTGGCAGTTACAGGGAGTTGCATAAACCATATATAATACTTGGGGAAGGAACAAGTGTCAAATTTTAGATTAAATCTAGTTTCTCAAAAGACAACTTCCAGGTGCTGTAATTGCTTGAAAATTATAAATAACAGTTAGGGTGGCCATACACAAGAGCAGGGGTCTCCAGCGGGAGGAATAGTACCCCACTGATGGTGTCAGTGAGAAGAATAGTGCCCTGTCTTTGGTGTCATTGGAAGAAACAGTACCTCATATCAGTGGAAGGAATAGTTCCCCAAGAGCCGGATAAAAGCAAGCAAAAAGGCCACATCTGGCCCTCGTACCGCAGTTTGAAGACCCCTGCACTAGAGGAAAAATTGTAAAAAAAAAAAAAAAATCTGTCATTTGAACAGTTTGTTCATTTTTCGAGTTCCAGTTAATAGACACAACAAATCGAAAATCTGTAGTGACATTTTGGAGCAAAAAAGAAATGTTTGCATTTGAAGCACGCACAAGTTACAAACAAGAGTAACACACATTTACCAAGTTACAGATCATTTATTGTGACTTCAGAGCAGAGACACAAGACCTTCCAGTAGAGAAAAGCTGTTTAATGTGGACAGTGTGCGGTGGGGGCTGCATGCGGTGCAGACAAGACAGGACCCTGCCATGTGAGGGGAGGAAAGCAGGAGCTGCAGGACACTGGAATTGGGCATGGCGGGCTCTGTAGTGCACAGACAGGCAGCTCTGGAATGGTTCACAGTGCCGGTCCTCCAACCCTATGCAGGCAGCATCAAAATAACGGAAAGAACCCCCCACCATCCTGACGGCGCTGGGACAAGGCCGGCTCCACAGAGTGACTGTCCAGCCGCAGCTTAACTGCTTCATGAAAACATCCAGTGAAATTGCTCAGTAACTTCAGCCAGCCAGGAGAAGGAGGACACGACTCGTGGTAAGAAGGCAGTTTGTGGAAGAGTGGAAGGAGGGGAGGGTCAAGCTGTGTCCACGCTGTGATCCGCACTCTGCCCACAACGCAGGGTAAACATTGCGGGCAGACCGTTCCCGACACCTGGAAGGAGACAGAAGGCACAAAGCCAAGAGGAGACAGTCAGCCTGGGATGGTGGAGTCTGGGAGGAAGAGATAAAAGGGGACAGATTATGAGGGGTCAAATAGAGAAGTGAAGGGGGGGGGGGGGGGGGGGTATCAGGAATAAGAGGAATTCTTGGGATACTTAAAGTAGAGGCCAGCAGGTAAAGAAGGAAAATAGGAGCAAAGGAAAATAAAACATGGAAATATCAGGCAATGCTGCACAGCACTAAAAATAACAAAACAAAATGATGCAAAGTGGAGAACAAAATATTTCGGAAGTTAATCAGCCAGTGAAAGAAAAGGGGAAAAGAAAGAAAAAAAAAAAAAAAAAGGAGGCAGGTAGAGATTGCTGAAACAAAGAGCACAGACAATGCAAGTGTCACATAATGCAGTGATAGAAGAGATGGGGAAACAATGATGATGTGTTGCCAGGAAGAGAAAAAAAAAAAAAAAAAAAAAGAAGAAGGAGGAGGAGCTCAGGGTGAAGACATCCAGGATAGGAAAGCGGTAGGGGAAAATGAAAAATGGAGGTGGGTTTGTGAAGGGAAATCAACAGGCACAAGGAAATGGCAGAACAGAAGAAAAAAGCATTGCTCAAGGTGCAGAGGCACCGATGCAGTATTGATTTCTCAGGCAGGGATGGCAGGCACAATCCGAACAAATGTTAGGCAAAGAGGCGATGAAGTTAGTCAATATGGAGGACACATCATGCAGTCAGAGAGGAGATCCAGAAAATGCAATGAAGCAGGAACCCAAAAGCAGCAAAACACAAAGGATGCGTATCCAGAGACGGCATGAAATGAACATGCAAGACCAATCAAGGTGAGGAGATGTCTCTCCGTACATCACGTACCCACACTCCAGGCCAGAGCGTCCCTCACTCTATTCGCAGCAGCTCCACTTCAAAAATGAGCGTGGCGTTAGCGGGAATGATGCCTGGGTGTCCTGTGGGGCCATACGCATAGTCTGGGCTACAGATGAGACGCGCCTTTTGCCCCACACTCATCTGTAAAATGGAAAACATGGAGACTAACCAATGCAGGCAGCGTCCTGTTCAATGGTACACCTGGACCTGTGTCCCAAACACCCCACCATACCTGCACAGTATACTAAAATAAATTTTTATATATATATATATATATATATATATATATATACACACACATATATATATATACACACACACACATATATACACACACACACACACACTTTTTTTTTTGCTCTCAATGTACAGCTAAATGAAGCTTAAGTGAAATCCCCAGCATTCCCTGCACTGAAATGTAGAAACGTCCCACTAGCTCAGCAATGGGCAAACTACGGCCCGCGGGCCGGCGGACCTTTTAATCCGGCCCGTGGAGCGTGATACTGTCAGGATGGCTGTCAGGATGTGTGTAGGCGGGGCAGCGTGACGAACGTGAGGGGAGCTAGGCTCCTCTCACAGTCCGCCCTGAAGACCGGAACGGCGCGGGAAAACACGGCGAGAGGAACGCGCGGAGCAAAGGTAAGTGAATTGAATTACTATAGGGGGGATGAATTACTATAGGGGGGATGAATTACTATGCTTACTATGGGGGAATATTACTATACTTACTATGGATGACACATACACATCATTCATCTACTCTTGGTCTGGCCCCCGGGTCCAATATATGAACCCATTGCGGCCCTCAAGTCAAAAAGTTTGCCCACCCCTGCACTAGCTCTTCTACACCATCATTCCACCCCCCACCGCTGTGCCAACACACTTACCTGGCTCCTCGCACCAATCCAGCGCTGCCCTGTCTGCAGCACCACCTTCGTTGAACATGCAGGAATCAGTGGGCCAAAGACTCATGTGGCTGTCTGTCAAATTCCTTTAAGAAGGGAAAGGGGGTGGGGATTACCAGCACCATGCAAGTCTACGGCAGACGGCTTACTATAGGAGCACCCAAGGAAGAAGGGGGGTATCAAAGAAAAGATAAGGGACCACTCTGTGCAATATCATTGTATTACATAGAAGTAGAACTTCTTTTGTTTTAATAAAAATAAATCAGCCTTTAATATCACTTTAGGTTAGTTAAAACGTAACACACGTGATTTGATTGTTAACCTACGCCACTGGATGTTTCTGCAGTGATTGGACATTTTTGTATTTTGTGATTTATATATTTGGTGATGTATCACTTGCCTAACTAACATGCAAGTGGGACACTGTTTAGGTGTGTCCACATTATACTCTTATACTTTACTTTGTGAACGTTGGATACCCAACACACACACACACACACACACACACACACACACACACACACACACACACACACACACACACACACACACACACACACACACACACACACACACACACACACACACACACACACACACACACACACACACACACACACACACACACACACACACACACACACACACACACACACACACACACCAAAAAAATTAGGAAAAAAAAAAAAAAAAAACGAAAACAAAAAACCCACATACTTCGTGAATAAACTATGAGTAATGAAGTAATCTGATCTGTGTGGTACTTGCTTTGGTGATTTGAAAATTTCTAATACTACTAAACCCTTCATTATAAAAAAAAAAAAAAAAAAAAAATCAAACTTTAAAACACATTTACTTTTTGACCGATTCTATTTTGCAGGCACACCACTTTCAAGTGTTTAGATATGCCGCCCCCCGCCAGCTCCATCTTCCTGGTGCGGAACTACCCCCCCCACCTCAACTTTCAATTGGGGAGCAAACACAATTTCTGCCTGAAGCCCTGATGGCGGGTCCTATGAGCACAAGTGCTGATTATTACAGCAATTTGTTTTTTCCCAATAAACTTTGTTGCACCTAAGGTTACATGTGTTTTCTTCTTACACAGCAGCCTCTGTACCTGTGTGCACAGTGGGTTCATGGTTATCTGTAGTCCCTGATGGGTCAAAGGGAAGAATGCATGTTGTGGTGACTCCAGTGGGGCTGCAAAAAGATCCCACCAGTGAACAACTGACGTATACGTAGTAAAATTTCGAATTCATTTTTAGCTGAACCCACGGAGTTCAGCATAGAAGGATCACAGTATGTGCAGCTACAAGATTGTTTTCTCAGTTGGGTTTAAAAATGCGTAATGAGTTACAGTAATTAGGACATGATTCAAAATGGAACAGACAATCTTTATTTTGAGTGCATTGCTTCTTTACAAGTTTTCTTCAACTGCAACATCTGTTGGTGTGACAGATTTTATTTTAAGACTAAGGCTGGCCATACACTATACAATTTTCTGTCCAATTTTCCTTTAGATTTACCTTTAACTATGAAGTGCAAGAGCCCGCCTAATTGGATACAATTGAAAGTGTTGTTAAGTTTGACTTCACATTATATGGTTTTTGGTAAATCTAAAGCAAAATTCTCAAGAAAATTGTATAATATATGGCCAGCCTTAATTCTCTACAAGTAACGTATTGAGCAATCATGGCATTTTACTGTGACAAAGTGTACGTTCAGCCAAAACATATTTTTCAGTTTAGAGCGGGTAAGAATTAGAACCAGTCTTGTTTTCACTGCTCTCCAAAGATTTCCTCCTCATTGTGACAACAGTTTAACCAGCAAGGAAGTGAGACAAACCACAAACAGACTCAAAGAGCTGACTGGGGTTCCGGCTTTTCCCTATCAAAGTGTTTTGGTTGGAGATTTTCCCTCACTTCCTGTCTGGTAAAGTGAAAAGTGCAAAAATCATTACTCTACACAAATCTCCCCCACCCAAAAAGTAAGAACCCTTCACATTTCTTCCCAGCAACAGAATGGATGTAAACACTGGCCAATTTGGAGGAGAACCAGGAAGTGGAAAGCAGGTATAACGGCATATGAGGTCTGTATGTGTATTAATGTTTTATTTTACCTAGAGATTTGCAATGCTTACTTTTATTCACACGTTAGCTCACCATTATCCTTTTTACCGTGGGCAGGGGTGCAATGTCAAGAGCAGCAGTAAAACAAAACTATTGATAAGCGCTACAGCAGACCATATATGTTATGGAAAAAAAATAAATTTGTACAAACTGAAATAAAAACTGTCGATACACATGAAACTATAACAAAGGGCAATAAATCACGCTAAAAGTAAACCTTTTAAGCATTAAAGCCGAGTTCCAGTCCCCATAATTTTTTTTTTTTTTTTTTTTTAAAAAACAGCTCCCCCGTAATTACAAGCTGTAGTTATAATACTTAACAGCAGTCTCATTTATCATGCTCGCTATGTAAATCTAAAATTTCTTACATAGATCTCGGAAGCAGGAAGATTGCATGATGGATGTGGGTATCTGAAGCCCGCTACTGTACACTTCCTGGTATTAGGTGCTGCTGGCTATCCCAGCATGCACCTCTCGCTCTTGCGCATACGCGGTAAAGAACACTGCGCGGTGCAAGTTGTTTAGAACCGAGGATTCTCATTTCTCTTTTTAAATATAATGCTGCCACCTTGTGACCACTGTTGGCAGTACTTGTGTTTTAATGGGTCATTCCCAGTGCCTGAATGAAACATCTCTCATTGAAGGTCTGTTTCTGGTGACCGTGTCTAACCTCCATTAAGCAGCAGCTATCATCCAGGAAACTGCAGCCTATCGGTTTAGCAGAAATACCTGTGGAGAACATGACAACTAAACGGTAAAAGAGAGATGGTGAAACAGAACGTTTACCTGTGAAACGCCTTCCTCCCAGCCACGGATCACCTCCTTTCTTCCAATGATGAAGCAGAAAGGCTTATTTCTGTCCCGGGAAGAGTCAAACTTCTTGCCGCACTCCAAAAAACCTAAAGACGATTGGTAACATGAAAATCTTACACCACACTCCCCATATGCAGTTAAAGAGCAGAGGTTAAACTGAAAATCAAGAGAGAAATGGCATCACCTTAACAGCATGATCAGCGGCTGCAGCCTGTTCAATCTCAACAAAAGGTCTGATTCAGTGATTAGAGATGACCCAAATGGGGTGATTTACTAAAACTGGAGAGTGCAAAATCTGTTGCAGCACAAAAAATGAATCAGCTTCCAGATTGTACTGTCAAAGTTTAAATGAACAAGCTGAAGTTAGAAGCCGATGGTCCACCATACAAAAACTGCACCAGATTCTGAGTGCACCAATTTTAGTAAATCTACCCCAAAAGGACTAACCCATTAACTAGTTGCCGAATGACGGCTGCACTGCGGCCGGCCAGTTCCGGGTGGACGTCATATGACGTCCTCCCAGAATGCGCTCTCCTGCGCACCCCCAGCGATCTCCATGATCGCTGTGTCCTACGGACACAGCTAATCACATGATGTGGTAAGAGGCCAATCACAGCGGCCTTTTACCATGTGATCAGCCGTGTCCAATAACACACTGATCACAGGGAAATGCAATTGCTGGTTCTCAGCTGCACTTTCCTCACGCTGTCAGAGCGTGATGAAAGTACTGCCGAGAACAGGCAGTTGTCAGAGTAGGGATCAGCACCATTCATCAGGGCACTGATGATCAGTGCCCTGATGATCGGTACCCAGCAGTGCCACCCACCTGTGCCCAGCAGTGCCACCCAGCAGTGCCCAGCAGTTGTGACAGTCAGTGCCGCCTATCAGTGCCCTTCAGTGCTGCCTATCAGTGCTGCCTCATCAATGCACATCAGTGAAGGAGAAAAATTACCTGTTTGCAAAATTTTATAATAGAAAAGAAACTTTTTTTCAAATTGTTTGCACTTTTGTTTATAGCGCAAAAAGTAAAACACCCAGCGGTGATTACATACCACCAAAAGAAAGCTCTATTTATGAGAAAAAAAATGCTAGATTGTAAGCTCCCGGGATCAGGGCTCTCCTTTCTCTCTTGCATTGAACTGTATTGTCTCCAGTTATATTGTAAAGCGCTAAGCAAACTGTTGGCGCCATAAATCCTGTATAATAATAATAATAAAAATTTCATATGGGTACAATCCTGCATGACCGCGCTCAATCGGAGTGCTCGATAGGCAAGTGGTTAACCAATGTTTTCTTTCTCCCCTAAATACACAAGCTCAATGCAAAGTTATCCAAATGTTATTTACTCTATTTACTGGGCATTTGCATATGGCTGGCCACAAAACAATACATTTTCTCAGTCAGCCAGCAGGCCAATAAAATATAAAAAAAAAAAAAAAAAAAAAAAAAAAAAAAATGGGTTCCCTCATCCACACAAACGTGGGACTCTACCTCTGTCAGAATACATTGATCAATGGCTGCAACCGGCTGTTCAACAAAAGTTTTAGATCGTTAGATTAACGTACGGCCATTCGAGCTCAACAGTAGTCAATCGAAATCTGCCCGCTGCCTGTTGAACCCGGCCCTAATTTGATCTATGGTGAACACATGGTTACCCGGGGCAGCAGGAGTACTTAGAAAATAGGGTCTAAAGAAGTACTTTAATTAACCAAGCTCGTAGACTGAGGGTCAAGCCGCAGTCTGCTTCATGATGCAGTGTCTTCAAAGTGATAAAAGTTTGTAAAACAAATATGCAGGTTTCAGCAAGACAATGTACAATAGAAACCCACAAGCAAGCGATAGGCAGTCAGAAAATATGGAAAGTAAACAGTCACAGAAAAAATCTCTGGCGACAGAAGCAAGACAGGAAATCAGCCAGACTCCAGGAAGATCGAGGCAGCCGGACTTCCTGTGTTGGAAAAGGGAACAAAACAAATGTGCGCTAATTCAATCAACCGCAACAGGCGACTTCCACTGCAGCTTTCTATAAAGAAAAAAAAAACGAAATATGAGCAAAGCTTGGTTTCATTCTTTCCATGTAAATCAAAGATTGCGAGTACCCGAAAATCTAGTGACTAAACATTAAGTAGAAAAATACAATGTTTAGTACAAAAGTTTTTTTTTTTTTTTTTTTTAAAAGGACAATGTCACTATGCCCACAAAGAGTAAAGTGATCAAATCGCTGCAAAGGTCCCCCTCCCCCCATACTTCCTTTACCGTGGGAACATGTGGGGGTGTTAACATGGATACTGAGGGCAACATCTTTGAGAATGAGGATTAACGACAACTTAAAAATACAAAATTCTAGTGCAGATTAAAAAAGGGTCCTGCACGTTTTTGGTGTGGGGCGATTAGAGCCATACAGAATGTACGGCTCCGATCGCACCGCACACAAATCGCATGTGATGTGTACAGGAATGCAGTGCGGTTCCTGTGCGAATCACATGCGATATACCGCACCGCGTGTGTGTGAACCCGGGCTGAAGCAGGTCTTTATACTATAGCTTGGTTTTGCCTGAAGCCACCCTACGTGGCCCAGGAAGATTATATGAATTGCAGACACAGGACCAAAAAAACAAAAAAAAAAAAAAAAAAAAAAAAAAAACCCTTCTATTGGCTTTGTCGTGGCTCTTAGTCACAGCAAAATTTGGTGTTGGCGTTTAATTATACTAAGTCCTGGTTCACACATGTCCATTTTCTGATGCGGTTTTAACTAGAGGATTCAAAAAACAAACAGAATGCGTTCCTATGGACAGTGCTGACATATATGCGTTGCAGCCGCAGTGCTGTTTTGAAGAGTCGTGTGCGAGTTTACAGCACTGCGAACAGAATTTTCAGTTTACGAAGGTCAATGTTTTTTTTGTGTATTTCTCAACTGATCGGTTATAGCAGTTTGTCAATTGAAATATTTAAGTCCAAAATTGCAGCTGCAAAAATGCATGCAAACTGTATTCAGGCAGAAAATGCATGAAACCGAAAAGCTTCTGACGACTGATTCACGCCACTTGCATGCATACAGCAATTTTTTCCAGCACAAACCGCTGCAATGCAGTAGTGTGAATCGGCTACATGGGAGAAAAGACATTTTACCTCATTTTGTGTAAAACTGACTGTGCTGGACTAGCCAACCAACGCAGTCCCACTGCATCTGGTGTACATGAACACTAAAGGAATACTGTACTGCTAACACACACTACACTTATTTTATAGGAATCTGTCATTTTATGAGCAAAATATTTTTTTATCTCTGGCTGAACCTGAGCAGTAGAATCCCTCAGACTTCCAAAAGAGGTTTCCCTACATTGGGAGAAAGCCCCATAGACATCTAAGTAGGTCAACTGCCCAGGCACAGCCGATGCAAATGTTGTGGAAAACCCTGCAGGCCTCCTAAATCAAGCAAAAAATTATATTATATATATATATATATATATATATATATATATATATATATATATATATATATATATATATATATATATATAAATTTTATTTTTTTCTTCTCTTCTCTGAAGAAACCAAAATGTAATTTGCTTCCACAGAAGAGGTAATATACTGAACTCTATGGGTGGCTCATGTCTCTTACGTCCCTTCTGTCAGTCTCATTAGTATTTTGCCAATCCAGGAGTGTCAGATGTCCGTTTGTCCCTCATAAGCTACGGTTTCTTGCTCCAACTCCACATTAATGTCCTGTAGTGACGTAGGGGTTAGACCAATGTTTAACCTTTTTTCAGTGAAGGCACCCTTTAAAATTCTACAGAATCTCAAGGCACCCCAATCTAAAAACCTATTCGACACACGTCCAGTACACCCAACGTTAGAGGTGATTTATTCTTCCAACGCAAATACACCTTTGTACACTGGTACTGACTAGTATTCCAGTGTGGCCCTCTCATTTTCTCTCCCTCAATCTGCATGCATCCAACTTCATCCTTATCAACTGATGATGTCATTGGTTGTTAGGATGCTTGCAGCTAGAAGATCATAAAAGTGCACAATGAAAACATGTGGCTTTGTGTACTAAAAAGATAGGACTGATCCACCTGCTGGCTTGTATACAATTTCTGGGCTTTTTGCGAAGGCACCCCTGAAGAAGCCTGAAGGCACCCCTGAAGAAGCCTGAAGGCACCCTGAAGAAGCCTGAAGGCACCCTGGTTGAGAAAGGCTGGGTTAGGCCAGAAACAGGTCAGACAGATAGGCACACTACACTTCCGGGGGGAAGATAGGACAGGCAAGTAACCAGACTGTGGAGATATTCTATTATATGGAAATGAGGTTTTAATTATTTTAGAGGGTCTTTAAACCTTTTGCTGACAGCAGGGGGTTTTACACACATTCCAGTGGCTGCAGCAACCAGGATTGTGTATAAAACAGACAAGCAGACTCTTGCCTGTCAGATGGAAGCACCTGACACACATTCCGGTAGCAACACCCCTGCCATGTATTGTGGGCTCCGTTTGCCCATCTGCGGGCATGGGGCAGTGGGTGGAAAGAAGGGAGGGAGGAGAGCGGACACATGGCCGCTCTTCTCCCCATCTTGCTGTGACCAGGAAAGCGATGTGTAGGACCTCATTTACAAGTCCCCCTGTCACTTTCCCCAGCTAGAAAAGCCAGGGAGTAATGTATTGCAATATATCCAGTAATCCAGTAGAGCCTAGAGGAGACATGCAGGTCTCAAATTTTCTTACCTATATAAAAAAAAAAAAAAAAAAAAAAAAAAAAAAAAAAATCACCAAATAGGGGACTGTGTGTCCCCCTGTGATGGGTAAAAAAAAAAAAAAAAAGGCAAGCCAAAAATTTTTTTTTTTTATTATTATTGCAAACAAAGTTACACCCAAGCACATAAAATTCCCCCCTCCCCAACCCCCGAAAAAAGAAAAAAAAAAAAAAAAAAAAAAAAAAGGTAAATGCATGCTTTGGAGGCACCAATGCATGAAATCATCTAATGGGATATATCACCGCGCATGCTGGAGAGCAACATTTCTAGTGCAAGACCTCCTTGGTAACACAAAACTGATGAGCTATAGGGGATTTCAAAGCGTTGATATAGAAAATATAGGGTACTGAATTTTATCGCCATTTCACGGGTGCACACAAATTTAATGTTTGACATGTTGGGTATCTACTACCGGTGC